TAGTTAATGGAAAAACATGGCAGGCATTTGAACAGAAGAATGATGTGGTCTTTTGCTCACAGCCATCCCCAAACATCACATTGAAACTCTGTTCTCATTATGGCATCTATATTGTACTTCTGTCTCAGCAACTGGTGAAAAAATAAATTTAATTCATTTTTGTTTGCAGTTTTACTTGTATTTACTTTATGCCTCATTTTGAAATGTCCCATTGGCTTTCATCTTGGTGATACTTTATTGGTTCCATATTTGCCCTAAAGTTTTTTGACAATTATGTTCTCATATTTATTCTTCCTCCAGCTGTGTGAACAATGAACTGTGTGAGTCTGGCTTCATGAAAGAGCTATAGTAGGGATGGAATTTGTCTTTTGATTCACCTGGGTTTATCTGCATAACAAAATATCAAACCACATGAAGAGAACAGGGAGAAATGTGCCATATATCATAGATCTTTGTCTTGTAGACACTTCTAAAATGTCTTTAGTGGGAATAGAATCTTATGCATCCTATGTTTTCTCTGAAACATAAACTCAAGCAATTAGAAGAATAGCATAATGGAAAATGGCAAAACACAGACTAAGAGTGGAAAGACCCGGTTCTAGTTCGTGGCAGTTTAATGTCTCTGGACCTCATTTCCTCATTTGTAATATTAAGGGGTGAGATGAGATATTCCTGAGGATCCTTCTTTCTTTAAAAGTTGCTGCTCTTTTCATTCTAGAAACATTGACTGTCTTTCTGAGATGATTTTTATCAGGAACTGATCTCTTTGGTATGTTGATATTTAAAGCCCTTGGTGCTGATGAAGCCAAGGTCATAGGGCTGAACCCTGTATAGCTTGCTTATTTCATAAACCACAACATATGTTTACAATGACATTCAGAGGAGATGACATAGATGTTTACCATTGATCAAAAAGGAGATTTGGGGGGAAGTGTTGGAAGGAGAAGAAGAAAAAGAATAATTTGTCAATGTTATTGAAGCATCCTTAAAAATCCACAGAAGTGAACAGAAGGAAGTTCAGAGGGAAACAAAAAAGCAGAACAGTTATACAAATAAAATGTGGAATTATATACTTAGGAAAAAGCAAGCTGTACATAATAAAAGATAAATAAATAGAGCCAGCTACGTAACAGTGTACAGAGTACTGGACCTTGGGTCATGATGACCTGAGTTCAAATCTAGCCTTACACATTTTCTAGCTTTGTGACCCTGAACAAGTTACTTAACCTCTGTCTGCCTGAGTTTTATCATCTATAAAATGGTGATGATAATGGCACACAACTCCCAGGGTTGTTGTGAGAATCAAATAAGAGAATGTCTATAAAACACTTCGCAAACCTTAAAGTGCTATATATGTGCTATTATTATTATTCTAGATTGTCAGGTTCACATATAACCTTTTCCTTTTCTACATTATATTTAGATATACAGTATTCTATTTTTTGTGTGTTCATTAAATTCAGAACAAAAAAAATTAGAAAAGAAATGCTTTTGTTACAGAGTGGAAAGAGACTTCCCTGCTCTAACATTCATTCTCCATTGTTGACTCACACCAATGAGTGGGCAGGTCAGGCATGGAACAAGCAATAGGGTCACCAACATTCCTGTTACCATACTGTCCTCCTAGCCAATCTGACTTCTCAGCTGATTTTCTGATCTTGGGTGGGTTGATGAGGGTAGGACTCCCTTTGCTTTTATTAATAATGCAATGGAATCTGTATCACCGAAGGTGAGTGTTTAAACCATAGGTCACAAGGAACTCTGGGAATTGATTTAATAAGGTTTCTTGAGCAAATATACTGCATTATGGGTTAAAGAGGTCATGGTGCTCATATAGGACTTTAGACTCAGATGTGTCCAATTAGGAAGCAACAGTCTTTTAAGTCATTGTATGTTGAGAGGGGAGGAGGGATAGCTCTTCTCCAGGATAGTGCAGAAGTAGTAACTAACAAGGTCAGGGTTGTTTGTTTTTCTTCTCAAAGTTTGCACTTGAAGGACCCCCATTGTGGTTATCCTTTCAAAAGGCAATTTTTAATGTTAATAAATACCTTCCCAAACTGCTACTTTTGATACCAAGATTAAGAGGGCTCTTTATCTTCTCCTCCATTGCCTTTTTGATGACCCCCTTCCTTTTGTTTTTTTCCTTTTAAAATATTTTATTTATTCCCCTTCTTTTTTTTCCATCCCTTCTACCCATCTTGAATTTCCAATTTTGTAGTTTCTTTTCCCTTCTAGAAGTATTTTTTTTTGCCTTCTAGAAATATGAGTTCTGTTAGTTGGTGCCATTTTTTTCCTTTTCTTGTTGTGCCTTTTCTTAAGTAAAACTAGACCTTTCTACTTTGATGAGTCCCAATCTCTTTTTCGAGTTTAAAAGTCTTAACCTTTGTGCTGAACTTATAACTCAGAGATGGCAAGGATAGGGACATGCCTTGTAGTCATTATGCTTGTTAATTTCACACAGTAAGGAGATCCTGACAATGAATTTCCCCTTCTTCTTCTTCTGGGCTTCCCTCTTGAAAAGAGAAAGACAGTTGCTTTGGGGTCCAGACCTGAACTCCATGACAGAGTAGTGTAATATTATTTTAGATTGTAGCTACTCTTGTTGTTGTTGTTCATTCATTTCAATCATGTCTGACTTGTGATCACATTTAGGATTTTCTTGGCAAAGATACTGAAGTGGTTTGCCAATTCCTTTTCCAGCTTATTTTATGGATGAGGAAACTAAGGCAAACAGGGTTAAGTGACTTGCCCAGGTTAGTGTCTGAGGCCATATTTGAATTCAGGAAGATGAGGCCGTATTTGAATTCAGGAAGATGAGTCTTCCTGACTTCAGGCCTGGTACTCTTGTGCCACCCAGATGCCCCACCTACTCTTCTGCCAACCCACTAAGACTGTATGTTGAATAACATACTGTGCCAAACCAAACCATACCTTTTAGGGAGCAATAGTGTTCAACTGAAGCCTTAAAGTCAAGTAATGTCTTTTGATAAGAGATTGAACCAAAAAGATATTGTAAAACAGGCCATATTGACAACCATACCACAACTTTTACTTTCAAATGACTGTTGTCACCCTCATTGCAGTCTCATTGAAAGACCATACATCTATCTCTATGATGCTGTCATCATGTTCAAGATTTTTGAAAGTCTTTTCTTCTTGGAATTGGTTCAGCATCCTCAGTATCATGTATATGAATTTTTTTAGACTAACCAAGCCATTTGGAACCATGTTTGGTGACTAAGGTGGGTGACTGGTTTATATGTTAATGTTTATGGTCAGAAAGAAGATGTGACTCAAAAGTAATGAGATGGGTGGCTCACCGCTTGACTCTGAAGGCAGCTTCCTAGAGAACTTCCAAAACTAGTTTGAAAAATAACAGAATTTGCGTGGCCTCCCAACGTGATTCCACTGAAGGAAGGAGCCCTAATTTGATTGTGCAGTTTCTGGTGTCATCAGGATTTCTGACTTAACTTTCGTTTAAAGTGAATTTTTTGGAGAACATAACTGACTCCATTTTGTTCTATATTTGCCATTTTGCTGTGTATGACTTCTGCATCAACTGTAGGACCAACTGAAATCATTGGTTCCTTTTAAGTGTCTTTTTTTGCTCCCCCAATTGGTACAAAAGACCTAATTGCTTTTTTTTTTTTTTAAAAAAAAGGAGGATTTTTGGAATGTACCTCTCTCTTATCTAGCCTGACAGATATCTCCCTTTGATTTAGTGAACTAACAAGAACACATCCCTTGGTTATCTCCCGTAGCTAATGATAGACATTCTCCTTAAAAAGCATACTTTATTTCCTTGTATAACAAGTTATACTTCAATATGCAGCCATTTTCCCCCCTTTATTTCATGTAATGTATAGATATTACTAGCTGATTTGTGAATCATACACATTCCTATCAACTACTGGTCAGGTGTATCGTCGGAGTAAAATAAAACCTGTCTTTCTGATTCATGCTGGCTTATTGGCAGTAGCCAGTTGAACTGATACCTAAATTTGTTCAACACTAGTATAGGTATTATAGCAGCAGTCTCATTATTTTATGCCATGTATTTATGACCTCATCTGTTTTTTATCCATTGCTGGACAATCAGAATGAGGCATTTTATTTTAATGGTTAAATGATATGCCTTCATTGGCTGTATTCACTGTACCCCCTAGAAGTAGAAGAAAGATTTCAGTGTAGCTCACAGGCCAAAAAAGTAGGCCAATATCAGCTAGGTGGTATAGTGGATAGACCACTGAACTTGAAGGAAAGAAGACCCAAGTTCAAATCCAGCCTCAACTGTGTGACTCTGAGCAAGTCACTTAGCTACTCTCTGCCTCAGTTTCTTCAGTTGTTAAATGAGGATGATAATAGCACCTATCTTCCAGGGTTGTTGTGAGGATCAATTAACATATGTAAAATGCTTAGCAAACCTTAAAGTGCTATATAGTGCTAGCAGTTATTGTTCTCATTATGATGATTTTTATTATAGGAGAGGGAATCAAAGTAAGAGGTATGCTCTCTGGGGATGGTGGGCCTTTGCTCATAATCCCAGCTACCAAGGAGACAGACTGGTAGATCTTTTGAACTTGGGAACAATAAGCTCTAGCGAGCTATGCCCGTTGAGTGTTTTCACTGTTTCAGTATTGATCTGTAGTGGGGAACCAGGTGGTTGGAGCTCCTGGCCTAAGCAGTAATGGGATCAGGCCTGAGAGCAGCCCTAGAAATTCTATCCTTAGGAAGACGGGGAGATGTAGTCTTAAACAAAAAATCAAACTTAACAACAACAGAAATGACTGGTGTGCTTCAAACGCACGGTGAGCACCAAATGAACATGGCTACTACACCATTCTGACCTCTGTTCATTTACTGATCAGAAAGGTAATGGATTTCTCTCTCATTTAGTGAATGGCATGGCATCATTAATTTCCCGTGCTCCTTTGTAGAACCTAGCAGAACATTTTTGGTATGTATTTAAAAGAACTCACACCATTCTCTTTGGTTTACAGTTGTTTGGTGACATAAAGGATGGAGAACCCCTCCAGCTATTTGAACAAAGTAGCCGCTCTGCCCAGAAGCAGGAGACCCATACCTTGGAGGCCGTGAAGCTGGTGGAGTTTGACCTTAAGCAAACACTTACCAAGCTTGTGACACATCTTTTTGGAGAGGGTATGTATTTAGGTACTTTCATCTTTGGGGACCTGGGATTATATGATTCCTCAGTTAGAAACAATAAGATTAGTCAATTTTAGCTCACCTGGGTTAAGACACAGCACAGTGCTCAAATTTTGTGAAATGAAGGAATTCATGAGTCTCTTTATTGGTTCCACATAAAGAAGAGTAGACCTGAAAAGGAACCATCCAGAGGCATAGATTGAACCACTGTCTGTGGCTGAGGAGGGTGTGATAAGATGAGAGTCAAAATAAGAATCAAAGCCATTATTTGGGAAGAAATTTAGTAAAGATTACATATAGGGAAAATATTATTAGTGGCAGGTGGCAGGAATGTCATTAGGTCAGATCCTGCAGATTGAGAAAGATTCCTATTTAGGTGGGTACCCAGGGAAGAATTGGGCAGTGGATTGGGTTGATTGGGAACTTGTGTGTTAAGGACGATATTAGTCTAGGATTTATGGGAGAATCATTGCATGGTGCAGGGGAACTGGTGCTGGATTTTGGTCATGGGGGCCGAGTTTAAATCTTAGCTCTGCTCCTTTCTACCTGTGCCACAGTGAACTATACTTTAACCTCTTTGGACTTTAGAATCCTCATCTTTAAAATGTAATATTTGCATTACCTGACTTTTGAGGTCCCTTCTAACTCTCAGTGGATAAACCATATTTCAGATCCCATACAGATGGGTCAGTGTGTTACTAAATCTTTCAAACCTGTCCCAGATGCCCTTTTATTTATTCTTAATGAACTTTGAAAATGAGTTCTGGAGATCTTTACTTAACTGATCCCTGCCCCTAAAGAAGCTCCTTCAATAGCAATCTGGAACTTCAATTGGTTATTAGCTTCCAGCCTCCTATTCAATGCAGGAATCTTTCTAAAATCCGTTATAGGCAGTCTTTCAGCTTGTATTTGGACGATTTTCTTTTTCATGATGGAGGACTTAACTACTTTCCAAGACAGCTTATTCTGTTTTTGAACAGTTTAAGACTTCATTGAGGTGAAAACTGTCTTCTAGAAACACCCGCCCATTGGTTTTAAATTTGCCCTTCGGAGTCACACAGAGTAAATCTAATCCCTCTTCCATTGGCTAGCCCTTTAAAGATTTTAAGAAAGTGCTGTATTTCCCATAAGTACTTTTTTCCAGGCTGAACATCTTTAGTTCTTTCAACTGTTTCTCAGAAGGATGTGGTTTTCAGACACTTCACCATTCTTTGGAAAAGCTCGAATTTATCAGTGTTTTTAAATTGAGGGGCCCATAATTAAATGTAAAAGATGATAGAAAACACAAAAGGTTCTTAAGGACTGTTGCTTTCATTCTGTTGGAATATCACAGAGGGTTGGTTTGTAAGCAGAGCAGACTGGGCAGAGTCCAGTGGGCAGAGAGACCTTAGGCTTTGCCAGAGGCTAATGCCTTTGGGCAGAAACCTTTACATTGCATTTCTGAGTAGAGAAAAGAGACAAAGTGGAGTCCTGCTGGAGTCTAGATTCTGCTTGCTTTATCGCATATGACAAGCAAAGAGCAAACAACCCCCTATCTTTCCCTGTCCCTGCTAAAATTCACTGTCATGTGATTCCTTAGGAAGTTCTTCAAAAAAGGGACTGGATGTGGGATTGATAATAACATGTCTCTTAGCACTTTCATTTGATTATCTGTTTTTTGAAAGATTTAGCTTACTGTGGTGGCTTAGTTAATACAGTTAGAATTTTGGTGCCAAGTGAAACCAAGGATGGTTATCCCATCCCCAAAGGAATATGATTTTTGCTCCATTCTGTGGCAGTATAGGTACTACTGACTCTGGCTAGCTGTTGTAACAGTATATGTCACTGGTCACAATGTGATTATCTGAGAAAGTATGGATGGATCAGAGCAAATGTATTTCTACCACCGGAGAAAAATTCAAGGTGCATGCCCTACTGAATGGGATGGGAGGTGTTGTTGATGGGATCATTTTTTAAGGACCTCAAGTGAGTAGCTAACATTTATGTTGTTCTCTGAGTCTTGCAAAACACTGCATGTGCATCATCTCATTTTTGTTTTACTGAAGACGAGAAAGAGGTTTTGAAAAGCTAAGTAACTTGCCCAAGGTTACACAATGGATAAGCCTTGGATGTGGGAGTTGAAGCCAGGTCTCTTCTGACTCCACATCTTGTGTTTTTCCCATTAGAATAGCTCTATAGCTTATAGGAAATAAAAACAACATGAAGCAATGGAAAATAGGTTGACGTGTGAGAAGGAAAAAAGGAGAAAAGGGAAAAAAGAACCCCAGAGGAGCTAAATAAACAGGGGATATACAAATCAGAAAATTGAGAAAAATGCAAAGACAAGAAAATTCTCAATGGTACTAAATAAAATGGAGGACAATAGTGAAAAATTAAAGCATGAAGGGAAGGGGAAAAAAAAGGAGAGTAGTGAAAACAATCAAGTGGAGAAAAGAGAGTCATGAAAAAATAACAAAAATAATGACTTAAAAAATGAGAAAGCATAGTAACTGGGCCATAATTAGGAGCCTCATAAATGCCTGATAGTGAGGGGTGGAGCCAGGATGGCGGAGTGAAAGCAGTGACTTGCTTGAGATCTCCCCCAAGCCCCTCCAAATGCCTGTAAAAAATGGCTCTAAATAAATTCTGTAGCAGCAGAACCCATAAAAAGGCAGAGTGAAACAAATTTCCAGCCAAAGACAGCCTGGATGGTTGATTGGAAAGGTATATCGCGCCGGGCGGGGAGAGGAGCACAGTTCTGCGTGGGCGTGCAGGCCGCAGCGACTCTGGAGCAGGCCTCAGAGGACTGAATCACATCTGTGGTGGTTTCCAGACTTCTCAACCCATGAACGCCAAAGACAACTTAGAAAGTCAGTGGGAAAAGTCTGTGACTATGGTGAGAGAAGGAGCTAGGTCTCAGCCACAAGTCCTGAGCACGGCCCACAGACTGAGGGGGAATTGAGTGGCTGATCAGAGGGGGATTACAGGGATCTTTCTGCCAGTGCTGAGGCAGGAATCTCTTGCTGTGCCCGTGCTTGGTTCTGGGTCACAGTTCTGAGGGGCACTCCCAAGGAGGAGCGCTGGCCTGGTGGAGCTTGTTGTGGCAGTGGAGAGGAAACACCTCGCCCCTTATCGTAGCACCTTGGAAGAACTGAAAATTTATAGGTCCGTAGAAGTACCTCTGAAAACAGCTGTACAAACCCCCGAAGCTTGGGACAGTACATTCTCCACATTGGAAGCAGACTCTTACCTTAACAAAGAGTTTAAAACTCAAGTAATCGACTGGGATCATGAGTAAGCAGCGCAAAAAGAGTCAGACTATATTATCTTATTTGGTGACAAAGAAGATCAAAACATACAACCAGAAGAAGACAACAAAGTCAAAGCTCCTACATCCAAAGCCTCCAAGAAAAATATGAATCAGTCCCAGGCCTTGGAAGAACTCGAAAGGAATTTTGAGAAGCAAGTAAGAGAAGTAGAGGAAAAACTGGGAAGAGAAATGAGAGTGATGCAAGAAAATCATGAAAAACAAGTCAACAACTTGCTAAAGGAGACCCAAAAAAATACTGAAGAAAATAACACCTTAAAAAATAGCCTAACCCAAATGGCTAAAGAGGTCCAAAAAGCCAATGAGGAGAAGAATGCCCTAAAAAGCAAAATTGGCCAAATAGAAAAGGAAGTCCAAAAGCTTACTGAAGAAAATATACTTCCTTAAAAATTAGAATAGAGCAATTGGAAGCTAGTGACTTTATGAGAAATCAAGACACTGTAAAACAAATCCAAAAGAATGAAAAATTAGAAAACAATGTGAAATATCTCATTGGAAAAACAACTGACCAGGAAAATAGATCCAGGAGAGAGAATTTAAAAATTATTGGACTATCTGAAAGCCACGATCAAAAAAAGAGCCTAGACCTCATCTTTCAAGAAATTATCAAGGAAAACTGCCCTGATATTCTAGAACCAGAGGGCAAAACAGAAATTGAAAGAACCCATCAATCTCCTCCTGAAAGAGATCCCCAAAGGAAAACTCCTAGGAATATTGTAGCCAAATTCTAGAGTTCCCAGGTCAAGGAAAAATATTACAAGCAGCCAGAAAGAAACAATTCAAGTACTGTGGAAACACAATCAGGATAACACAAGATTTACCAGCTTCTACATTAAGGGACGCAGGGCATGGAATATAATATTCCGGAGGGCAAAGGAGATAGGATTACAACCAAGAATCACCTACCCAGCAAAACCGAGTATAATCCTTCAGGGGTAAAAATGGCCACTCAGTGAAATAGAGGACTTTCAGGCATTCTTGATGAAAAGACCAGAGCTGAATAGAAAATTTGACTTTCCAATAGAAGACTCAAGTGGAACATGAAGAGGTAAACAGGAAAGAGAAATCATAAGAGACTTATTAAGGTTGAACTGTTTACATTCCTGCATGAAAAGATGATATTTATAACTCATGAGACTTTTATCAGTATTAGGGTAGTTGGAGGGAAAAAATTATATGTATATATGTATATGTATATGTATATCTATATATATATGTAAATAGATATAGATAGATATATAGAGGACACAGGGTGAGTTGAAGATGAAGGGGTCATATCTGGAGAATAAAATTAAGTGGTGAGAGAGGATTATACTAGGAGAAGGAGAAAGGGAGAGATAGAACAGGGTAAATTATCTCACAAAAAAAAAAACAGAAAAGAAAAGGCTCTTACAGTGGAGGGGAAACGGGGAAGGTGAGAGGCAGTGAGTGAATCTTACTCTCATAGGATTTGTCTTAAGGGGAGAATAACATACACGCTCAGTTGGGTATGGAAATCTGTCTTACCCTACAGGAAAATAGGGGGGGAAGGGAACAAAAGAGTAGGGGGATGATAGAGAGGAGGGCAGATTGGAAAAGGGGGTAATCAGAAGCAAATACTTCTGAGGAGGAACAGAGTCAAAAGAAAGAATAAATGGGGGGGCAGGTTAGGATTAAGGGAAATAGAGTTAGTTTCTCACAGCATGTC